TGATAGGTTCCTAAGTGCATTGCTAATGTGAACCCCACAACTTCCCTTGTTTAAGCCTTTTCCAGAACTGTAACTCTGCTTAAAAGTTCCACTCTTCACTTCTGAGAGGTTGTTTGCTTCCTAGTATATCTGTAAAGCATATGGATAAATACTAATTGCCACCTTCTTTAAAATGATCTTGTGCATATCTGAAGACCCCCCCTTACAGAGTTTCAGGTAGAAAAGAAAAGTAAAAGGTTTATTATTTTCAGAAACAATAGTTTGAGATACTGGTCCTGTCCTTAAGACTGTGATTTCCTCTTAGAAGATTTTTAGGCTACAGTTCATAAGATCTTTATGCTCTTTCTTTTTCTTGCTTCCTTTTTAATGCTCAGGACTTCTGCATAAGGTTCAGATTATTATGGAAATGCCCTAGAACATGCCAGCTAAAGAAGGGAATCTGATTGCTTCTCTTTTAGTAATTATGAGGTAATTAAATTCATCCATCAAAATCCATTTCTACAGGCAGTTTCTGCAGAGAGAGCTTGCATGAGGACTGGACTGTGAAATAAGCTTGGCCTTCACCAAGGAATAGCTCAGGTTTGGAGGCCTTGAAGGCTCCATCCTTTCTGCAGTACAAGCAGGGGACCTGGATCCGAACTCGCTGTAGTTTGTGGCTGTACAGCATGTGCACAGACTCAATTTCTTCAAACTGGAGTCATTGTAAAGGACAGGTGGGCATCTTGCCCAGGAAGGTATTTCACAAAAGGCATTTATTTCTGATTCTATCATCAGCTCTCCTGTGCTTCTGCTTCACATGAGCTGCATTGTTTCTGGCTGCTTTCTTTCCCTCTTCCTTGAAGAGATGCCCAGTTCCAGGCTGCTGCCTGAGCCCACAGAGCCAAGGCAAGGTGGCTGGTGCTATTCCTAAGGCTTCTGAAGGGCTGGAGAATCGTCATCCTTTTCAGTGAAGGAGGAGTGTGTTTCCATTTGTTTCAGTTGTGCCCATTTGTCAGTTTATTTGGAATATGATCCAGAGCTATGCAAATCCATCTAGGCTTTCATGTTCACTCACTGCACAGAGAAACCTTCACTTCTCTGTTTGTTTTTGGGCCTGCAGACGCCATAGCAGGCAGGTTTTTGACCAGAAATGGTGTCAGCCTGGTCATGTAAGTTGAAGATACAGTGCCTTTAGTAACTCTGACCAGCTCAACATTGCACTCGCTTTGTTTTAGACCACTATGGAGAGCTGGGGGTGGGAGATTTGTTCCCGAGCTCATAGTTCTGATGGGAGATTTGTTCCTGAGCTCAGAGGAAACATCAGTTAAGCCCCAGAACTTGGTGATCTACAGGTCCTGCTAGTCTAGCCTCAGCTCCCAAAACAGTTCAGCTACATACTGGTTTCAGTGTCTTTTGTTCATCTGTTGCTTGCTGTGGTTGGATTTCTGCTCTTCATGGCTGTTTTCTGAAGACTGCTGATATGAATACAGCCATTCTAGACAGAGGATTGGGAAAAGCTTTTTAAAATAAGCCCGTCTCTGACCCATATGCTGATAAAAGGTTCATGCAGTCTCTGTGGAGAGTTGCAATAAAAAATTGTTATAAAGGTAGCAGCAGGAGACAGCAGGACAAGAACAAAGGCACACATGGCAGGAGGAGGACTGCTGTGCCTTCTCACTGCTGTATTCTGCAGCAGTGAAAGCCAGCAGCTGCAATGAGGTCTGGTGATGCTATTTGCTTTTCTGAGATTTTTTTTTCTCAATTTTCTGTTATAACAAGCCCACTGGACACTTGTTACTGGACACTTTGAGCCCTAAGCTGGGCCAGGCAGGTGCCAGTCCAGGTCAGCCCTTGGACAAGGGTGCACACTTGTGGCTGGCACTGCTCTGTCAGGGCAGGAGATGCACAATGATGATGCAGGAGACCAGCTTCAGAGACACCTGAAGAAGCCTCATGCTGGAGGGACCTGCAGTTCTGCCTGAGGAGGAGGTTCAAGGTGGCCAGTGGTGGGCTAAAAGTGCTAATTCCAGGCTTGCGTGGCTCTGTGCTGCAGAGCAGGTATGGCCCTGCAGGGCAGTGTGGGGGCTGACCCACAGACTGCTGCAGAGGTTGCACACAGTGCTTTGGCCTCTGAGGGCAAGCAGGAGAGTCTGCCACAGCTCAGCCCTCCTCTCCAGGGCGCTGAATTTGTCCTGGGCATCCTTTCACAGTCTGAGATCAGGAGTTCAGTCTTGCCTTCACCTGAAAGATGGCCCAGTTACATCTAATGCCTTCTCAGAGGGGTTTGCTCTGGCTTGTCCTTCTGCTGAAAGCCAGCAACTCCAATTTTTTTCATTCCTCACCTTCAGACCTGTGATGCTTTGGCACTTAGAGATGTGCACACATACCATGTGGACACACGGCATTTTTGTTCTCCTAATCACATCCCGGACTTCATTGTCTGGAAGGCTTTTCTACGCAGTGGCTTACTGTCAAGTCAAGGTGTTTATGCTTAGGGCAAGGTGTTACCTGAAGAAATGTAGGTCCTTTCATCTGGTTAACATGGCTAGCTCAGAATTGCTTCACATGGGGAAATCTAGTTTGCACAGTTCCCACTCAGAAGAGAGACGGTTCATGAAGTGCTGTTTGAAGTCCCAGCCCTTGCATGTGTTTAGCCTGTTCTCAGGAAGGATGAGCCAACAGAAGCAATGACTTAGTTGCAGACTCTGGTAAATCAGAGTTTTACTAATGCTGCTATCCATTCTGGTGCATAAATTCCCTTGCAATCCATACTGAAGGCAAAAAAACCTGCTTCCCTTTTGTTTAAAACCACACATATTAGTTGCAGTTTTTAAAAGGGCATTTGGAGCCTTTGAATACTTAGAGACTGCATCAAACATACAACAAAATGAAGTGTGGAGATCACAGTAGATGCCACTTTCTGGGACAATGGAAATGGAAGGACTGTTTATATATTCTCTGGCCTTGCTCAGAGAGGAGGCCTGGGGAGGATGACATCCTCAAGGATGACAAAATTATTTGTCTGAAGATGGAATAAACTTAAATCTGGGAGTTCTGAGGTCAAGTCTCTATGTGTGCCCTTCAATGCAGTTGTTGAAGTTGTACCTGTGCTCCAGTCTTGTGCCTTTACCCTCCTTTTCCCAAATAAATAGACATAAAAATTCAGGGGTGTAATCTCTGCTAGCAAGTCTTTAATGTCTGGTCATCAAGCAAAATTGTGGGGACAAGCATACAGCCTGGACTAGGGCCTGGTTATTAATGTACAAATTCATGTCCCACACACTGCCCTAAGCACCTGTTAGCATATGCATGTATGGCTGCTCACTGATGCATTCAAAAACCAATTTTTCCTTTGGTGTGCTTCTGCTGGATGTCTGCTTCCTGACTGATGCCTACAGCATCCCTCTGGATGGCTTTGTCCACGTAGTGTAGAGCAGCCTCTGCTGTCTTGGACAGACGGGCTGGCAGTGCTGTGAGATGCAGCCTTGGTTGCTTTGATGATCATGTCTCTCCCTTTTGGTCCCTTTGGCCAAATACTACCCACAGGAGAACTGCAACAAAGGTTCAGTCAAGAGAAGGAAAAGGATAGCATTGACTGAGGCTGAGTTTAAAATCTTTTATTATTTAGCTTTGCCAAACAGATAATGGAATCTGAAGTTGATTTGCTAAAATGTTTTGAAGTGGAAGCCACCCCTGCCTGAGACAAAGAGGACCTCAGTGGCAGCAGGGACCTTAGGCTATGGCAGCAGTTCAAAAGAACACTTTTAATTTTGTATGCAACAATGTAAACTTCAAAAATAGTAAACTATAACCTTTCCCCCCCCTTTTTTTACATAGCATGTGATCTATCACAGATAGAAATTTAATGGCGAACCAAAATCGCGTAAGTAAACATCCTGGTGCTTACAAGTTTCATAAAAAGTGTTACATTTGATGTAAATACCTTACATTTTTAACTCTTAACACTCACAATTATGGAGTAAAAGCAACTGGCGATTCACCCCCTTAGTCCATGCTCTCAGACTGTACATCAGCAACCACGCTCTTGCCAGCCCCTTTGATCATTTCTGTCGGATTGTCCCACACGCGGCCAAGATTTCCCCTTCCTCACATTGGCATTAACCAAGCGCAGCTCCACACAGGGGTAAAACCTGTGAAGTGAGAAGAGAACCAGGTCTCCTGCGCTCGACCTTGCGGTCCCCCGGGCCCCACGCTCCCACAGAACCACGGTGTGCGTGGGAGGCACGTCCTGATGTCGGTGGGAATTTGGGGTCCTTTGGGGCCACAAACCTGAGCCCTGCCTTTGCAAGTGCCTCGAAGCAGGACCTGGTTCTGCGTGGATAAAGACAAGAGTTCTGTAGAAGGCACTGGATTTCTCTTGCATGATTTTAAACGTGGACTACAGTCATTTGCAGAATAAGGAGATTTGGGCTCTAGACTGCTTTCTCTCTATGCTTTAGTGCAAGCATTTTTTGCGCTTGAATTCTCCCTGTTTGCAGCGCAACACACGCTCATCTACATAGAGTGATTTCTAAATCTTCCTTCCACTCTTCCCCCCATCTTCCCGCCCCCAAAAAGATTCCCTTTTTTTTTTTGCTCCTTGAAAACTTTCAAAGTACAGCTCTGGTCAAAAATAAACATGTGATGTAGCATAGCATTTGTTTCTTTTAAATCACAGTGTGCAATGCATCATTCAGTACCTAATGTTCAAAATGTCTGCCCTGCTTTTCATGAAAGTCATTCTTTAAAATAACCTATGCAAATATATTTTGACTATATATTACATTCATTTAAAAAGAGAAGAGAGGTTCTTGGTTTGCAGTTTTTTTTCAGTGTACTACTTAAGTGAAAGGTCAGATGTGAAAAAAGTACAAGCAAACTGGACATGCCAAGACTTGATGCTTTAGATGGTGATCATATCAAAACTGTACAGGTATGTACACCATGTTGGACAGGTGTGCTTCTTCCCAAGAAAAGACCTTTGCATCATCATATATAACGTTAACCACAAAGTTTTGGTAAAAAGAGCATTTAATGAGCAAAGGATGACATGGAAGGGCGAGTTCTCCGGCTTTTATTAGGCAGTCCTGAAGCAATGTCTCCATTCCCTTCGGGAATTTCTTCCTTCTTCCGGACTTTGAGACGTGTGAGGAGCTTTATTACCCAGACATCCCATTCCTCTGGCAAGAGCAACAGGAGGAAGCCCAGGCCAATAATGATGATGGCGATTACTCGAACACTATTGAAGACAATTTCACTCGTGTAGTGATCAACAACTGTGTGGGACATGGAAAGGATGTTACTACATGGGAAAAGGCATTAGGACAGTATCCCCTTCCCTCTCCCTCACCTCCCCAGCTCTGAGGGCTGGCAGGAGAACATGGCCATGGAGGCAGTGATGGCAAGGGCACTATTTCCTGCAGGTTGAGCACACAGCAGGGTATGTCCACCAACAGTGCAGGAACTCCTGCTGAGGAGTGCAGGGACACAGAGAAAGGGGCATTTCCCTTCCCTGCATTCCCTTTCCTGATTGCAAATTTTTCTTGTCACCCTGAGTGCCCTGTGAAGTAAGAGACCCTGCCCAAGCTGAGCCATCCACACACTCTGGAGGGATCACACCTTTTGGTAGCCAGATCTGCCAGAGCAGTGCCCAGCTCTGTGTGCACTTAGTCAGCATGAAGCTGGGAGCTGCCACCTGCACCGTGGCACCAGCTGAGCGTGCTGGGTGTTAGGAGGCTGCTTTAGGATGGGATTGTGTCTGCACTCCCCTGCCCAGACATCTCAGACTCTGCAGTCTCTTGGCTTTCACGAAATTTCAGAAAAACTGTCAGAGAAATGTACCAGGCCATGTCCAAAATTGAACTGGCCAGTGTTCTTGATAAACACCCACAGTGCTGTTTACCAAGGCAAGCAGAGTTGCTATTTACATATCTGCTCTAAAATGTAAGCAATTATATTTGTTTGAATTTAGTGTTAAGCCTGCCTTGAAGACATCATTAAGAACTGATTTCTGCTTTAGCCATGGGTTTTTATTCCAGCCCAGAGATGAATGTCTTCAAATCTACTTTGTTTTTCAGTATGCAGGCTTCTTCGGACAGTAATTTAAAAATCAATTTCAGGGATTGTGAATATTCATGTAATATTACACAACACATATCTAACACATAAAGAATAAATTTTTAATCAGTGTCATCTCTGTAAGTCTTTGAGAGAAGACTCAGGTGCAAAACATGTTTAATAAATCTATTTTCTTTCATCCCTGCTGTATATTTGAAAGGCCACAGATTTAATGCATTAATTAAGATGCAAAAGACAGAGAATCTTACCTGCATTCACTGGGACACTCAGTACAATTCCAAGAGAAATCAAGGTGGGGTAGGTAATAGCAATCCCAAAATTTAGTAGAATATTGAATGCTGATGAAGGAAAGAAAAATGTCTTTTAGTACAGTGAAATTAGGCAGAAGGAATGTCACTTGAAACGCTTATGCTTTATTACTCTATTTGTTGTTCAAATAAAGGGTACATCAGCTTCTGTTGTTTTTCCTGAAGATACCAGAGGACAAAGCTCTGTCTGCTGCATGGCCACCTGCCTGAGACATGGCTGTTTCTGGGGAGCTCTGTGTCCCTCTGGAGTCCAGTGGCAGAACCAGAGTGGGTTTTGGGTACAGCCTGTCTCTCAGCATCATGTGCAGTAATTCCCACTCTTTATACTGATCCAGTGATCCCCTTGGCCCTGCTGAAAGACAACACTCTTCATCTGGGAGATTTCAGCTGAACAGGAGCTTCTGTCTGGGTGCTTTTTTGTAAAAAAGCTGCCTCCAGTTGCAGGTGGAAGATGCTGTAAATCTAACCCTCTTCCAGGCAGGAACTTGCTAAATATAATGTCATACAATGAAATTATACTATCATTCCTAAGGAATGATTATAATATCACTTCATTGTAATACCATGCACAGTTTGTGGGGTGTTTAATGACAAATTAGTAATTGCTTTGGATCAAATTCACCCTTTTTTTAAGGTGATCAGCTTTAGCAGAATCAGGAGAGCCTTGCCAATACTGAGCTTGTTGGGAGCTGGAGCTTTGACTGTCTTCCAGTAGTACCCATGTATTGCACATGCCAGGGGTTGCTTGCCAAGTTCTGCACCACTTTCTTACAGACAGCTTCCTCTGAGTCCACTGATAAGTAACCTGGAGGTACTTCTGGAATTGTGATTGTTCAGGGTAAAAGGAGCTGGGACTCAAGACAGGGGTAGAGAAGAGCTATTTCCAGTGGAAATTAATGTTTTAGGAGAGGGGATTCCGTCATCCAGTGTAGTGACCAACTGTGGCAGCAAGTCAACACATGTAATTTAACAATGGACAGCATCATGTTTCTGGTAACCTTTAAAACTTAGATTGGCATCCCTCCCCTCTGGGCTCCTTTGGTGACACAGCAGTGGCAGCAGAAGAGAGGATTGCCACCTATCAAAATTTCCATCACTGTGCAACACTACATTTTCAAAAGTTTACTCCTCTTTAGGAGTAGCAGTTACTTCTCTTTAGGAGTAGCAATTAGCTACTACTTCAGGCAGCAGGGGATTGGAGTCTGGCCTTGACAGGCCTGGCCTAACCTTGCTGTGGGGATGCTGATGAACCCCAGACAATGCCCTCCCAGCAGGGCTGCTTCCATCACAGCCTGGGCAAGTGTTACCTGTCTCTGTCACACAGAGTTCATGAGTAGGAGTTAGGACAAGCTTTACAGCTTAGTTCCACAGTCCCTTCTAAAGAGAGCCACTGTGTTTTGGTGTGGTAATAATAGCAGAAGCGAGGTCTACATTGGCCCTAGGAATGGGCCCTCTCATAATATCTCAAGTTAATAATTAAGTTGAGAAGGGAAAACAGCTCCAGTATGGGAGAGGCTTGCAGTTTCCACCAGCAGCCGGTTTCTGGCACCCTCCTCCAACCCGAGCAGTGTGAGAGCTCCCCCATCTACTCACTCAATAAGAGAATTGAAAATCCGCAGAGGTTCCCCCAAGGAATGATGTCAAAAGAGCTCCAGTACTCCACTTTGGTAAAATAAAGGATGACAGGAATACAGGTAACGAAGAGGACGTTGAAGACAGCTAACACAGACAGGAATAAGGCAGCTTCTCCAAATTTAGCACTGCCCAAAAGAAGTTTGAATAAAACCTAAAAGAGGAAAATACATGGGTTTAACTCTCTTGCACCACCATCCCTGGAAAGCTGGCATTCTGTTCTGGCACCGATGCAGTGATGCTTGCCGGACACTTGGGATGGCTGCTCATGGAACTGTGGTGAGCAGCTTGTGTGGCCCAGCCGTCACCCTCCTGGCATCTCCTGGAACAGAGGCAGGGGCAGCTGCCAACTGAGTCCAGGCATAAAGGGCATTCAGCACCTTTGTCTGTACCTGTCCTGAAAGGAGAGGTCACTAACCCTAACTTAGACCCTTCAACTCTTGCTTAGACCCTTCAGTCTTTTTTCTGCACCTCCAGATAATTTGACATTAAGAAGACTGTGGAGCATGGCAGGGGGAGGAGACAAAGCAATCTAGATGAAGAATCCCCATGAGACATCACTGGTCCAAGCCTTTAGCTGCCACCTGAGCAGTGCTGTGGTGGTGGGCAAGCACAGTCCATGCTGACTGGCTGTCCTTCCACCTTCTCCCTGGAACTCATCTCCAGGAGGCAGATAGCAGAGCAGCAGATGCAGCCTGGGCAATGAGACTGCAGGGAGGGATTTAAAACCTTTGGTTTGTTAGTGGGAAAAGAAAAAAAAAAAAGTAGAAATAAAGGCTGTGAGCAGCCCGTCTGTGGCTGGGGACTGCCTGTGGACAGGTCGTGTCTGAAGTCTGCATCGGTTTTCACCACAGTGCTGCAGAGATTCTGTTGGATATCATGGTCTGGGAACAGTTTTCCTCTGCTACTGGCTGCAGACCAGGCCAGCCAGTGGACTGTGGCTTTGTGGTTTGTGCTGCACTGGCAGTCCCCCTCACCAGTGTCACTTCTCTCCTTTGCCTACACAGAGCAGGCAAGTCTGCAGGGCTGCCGTGCTAGCAGGGCTCTGCCCACTCCCACCATCCCATCACTGGCCAGTGCAGCTGTGTTGCTGCTCTGCAATATGGAGCAAAATGTCCCAAAAGCCACTTACTCCTCATTTGCCTCCTGAGGCCAGCATGTTGTGTTGCCCCCCGCAGGGCCACCTTGACCTATCCTCCTACCCCAGACAGGCAGTGGCTCTGCTGCACATGGTGACATCTGTCTGCCTGTAGATCTGCCTGCCCCTTTGGCACACACAGCTCATGGGAACTGAGCCAGAGAGAGCCAGAGCAGGGTGGCAGCAGCAGTGGCAGCGGCATGTGTTGCACAACAAGCTGCAGAGCTTCACCTGTCCTGGCATGCAGAGCACACTGCAGAGTAACACCCTGCTGGCACTGCCGCCACCACCCTCCTGTGCACGAGCTCTGGTGGAGCAGCCCTGAGACTCCCATTCCCAGAAAGAGTGGCAGTGTCATGGGAAAGGGAACACAGCTAGGCTCTAGCCTTTAATTTTCTCTGGTTTGGTGGGCCATGTCTCTGGTCCTGCAAGGAAATGCTCTATTCGAGGAATGAGCTGTATGAAACTTCCTGACCTTCCTAATGTAAGAGATCGTCTGATCTGAACAAATGAGCAAAAAGCATCGCTGCACTGTGCCGAGGGGCACAGGCAGATGCTTCTCAGTTTGGCAAGTCTCCCTGGACTGCAGGGCTCTCCTGGCCAGTTCCTGTTGGATGACTGGTACAGTGCAATTCATTAGACCAGATGAAGTTGTCTACACCTCCTGATCTACACACCTGAGCCAGGGTGGGCCAACCACACTCTACAAATGCTTATTCCTCACTGTGGACTGTGACTGAGCACTATGATCAGCATAAAGGCAAGTGCCCAGAAGTGTCCCAGGCTGAGTGAAATGGCTGTGCTCAGCAGAGAAGGCTACATCTTACACATAGTGCAGCTTATCCAGCTGCTCAGGATGAGGTCTTGATTCATAGGCACGTGCTCTGCATTTTAAGGATATGATTGCTTCCATGATAAGCAATGCTTTAAGCCCCACACAGGCTACATGTGTTACTGAAGGAGGACTGGCAAGTGGAGCTAACCAAGTGACTTAAGCTAAATCTCTGCAGGGTGCTTCCTGAACTCCACAGAGGTTTGCAAGTAAGACAGGAACAGCCAAAGTGAGTGATGAGGGTGACAGGCATCTCTGTGGGGGAAAAGAGCCAGGTATGCTTACCTTGTAGAGAGCAGACATTGAGGCAGAGCCCACCACCAGGGCTATCCCAATAACGGAGTGGCTGTGAAACCCATCAGCATACGTCATCATAACTATCCCTGCAATAGCAAATATAGCAGCCACAATCTGGTTGGAGACAAAGAAAGCAAGAAAGTGTTACTAGACAACCCTCACGATGGAGAAACAGGCAATGCAGATTTACATTCGAGTGCAGTACTTCTGCATCATCTGCCTATGTAGAAAATAGTAGGAAGCCTGGGCCAATACCCAGGGAGCAGATGCTGCCTGCCCTCGTGGATTCCCTGGCTGCAGGGAAGCTGCAGGCAGAGCTGCAAAGGAGTGGCTGCTCCGGGCGTGTGCGACAGGCCAGACTGCAGGGCTCAGTGCCTCCGACTGAGCTGAAGTGGGGATTTAATCTCTGTCACTGAGCTGCCCCATCAGTGGGTCCCTGCAGCCTGTGCATGACAAAAATACACAAGTAATAATTCCCTGCAGCTTGCAGAAAAGCTTCGAGTCCTGTTGAAGTTTTGGAGGAAAAAGGTTATAGAAATAAACAGGGGAATAAAATTCACACAACTACTTCCCAGTCTAGACGAGTCATTTCAGAGAGTAGGAGGAGGTTTTTTCCAGCCAGCTATGCACACTGCAGTGCCTGAGGGGTGCCTCCCAAACAGAAGAAACATTCACAAAGGCTGGGGACACGCTGCCCTGATTTACCAGGCTGTGCAACAAATCCCTGGCTTCTCTGGGATTGTCCTGCCAGATGCCTTCAGCCTCTCAGGGTGTTAATTCTGGGGTGAACAGAGCTTTCTCTATGCTCATGCTTCCTGGCTCTGCAGGGCTGTGAGAGATGCCCTGCTTACAACACATACCTTTTGGCTGCACACTCAAGGTGATGCCTCCAAGATGACTGAGGTATTAATTTATTTTGATCCACAGATGGGTAAGTGCCAGCCAGCTGTCCCCTCTCGCAGGACCAGACTAGGGTTTTAAGCCCCATCCACAGGCTGCAACTGCCTATACATCCATGAACCTCCTCTCATCTTTCCTGCTTCCCACCAGAGATACTGGAGCTGCTGTGAAGATACAGGGGGAAAGTCTGTGTGCCAGGCTCTGCTGCTGCCTGATCAGCAAGATGTGGTGAGGTAGCCTCTTTACCAGCTGCAGGTCCCAACCCCAGCAGCACCAGCAGTCTCTTCCCTGGGCTAAGCTGGGGCTGGTGCCAGGGGACACCCATACACCAGACAATCATCCAGCAGATCCTTCCTGCACACTGACATCAACACCTTCAATTTCCCCTAACAAAAAAAAATTGGCCCATTTTTGCAAAAAAACTCAATTTCTCCACAGGGGTTGCTGTATAATGGCAGGGTGGCATAAGGCAGAATCCTTATTTATGACTTGATCAGGGTGGAGCCCCCGTGCCAACTGCAAAGGCTGGGTATACACACTGCAGATTTGGAGAGGTTCAGATACAGCATCTTGGCTTGCAGCCTTGTTGGCATCTGGTCTCTCCATGCACAGGTGTGGGACATCATTTCTGAAGTGAAGTTTTGTGGTGGTGTAACTAGGCCCTATGGTCCAGGACAGGCTGACAGGCTTCTTTTTAAGGCAAGGACAGAACCTGCCCTGCATAGCTCTATAGCAGCGTGGGGCAGTTCTCTCACCAGTGTGCTGGTGCTTGTCAAATAAAAATTCAGACACTCTATGTGGCTTCAGAAGCACAAGAAAAAAGGTCAGTGCATGAGACTAGCATGAGGCAGGTGCAGAACAAGGAAAAAGAAATTCGCCTTCACCCAATACATAATTAAGTGAAGGAAAGCTTTGCCGTTGCACCCTGTGAATGTGAAAAATTTAGAAGGATAAACTCATGGAAAAAAAAAAATTCCATCAACGACTATTAGCTATAGAAACACTGGTTCCATCTCAGGAAGTCCCTGAGCCTCAAATTGTTGGAGGCTGGAAAGTCTCATGAGGAAATATCATTACAGGCCTTTCCTATTTAGACAGATTTTTCTAGGTGTCTACTACAGGCAGATGCTGGAGGCAGGCTTTTGCGGCAGAGGCACCTTTGCTCTGACTCACTGTGGCTCTTGGGAGAGCTGCAAGGTACATGGCTCAGGCTCAGCTGAAAGATGGCAACCCTGTACCTTCCTTCAACATCACCTGTGCTACAGATGGGTTGACAAAGAGTGGAAGATGCAGCATTTCCTGTAGCATCTGCTCACAGTGTGGCTGTCCTCCTCTGAGCTCTATGGGGTTTGTCCAGCCTTCACTGGAGGGCTGAGGAGAACCACAACCACATTCCAGGCTGTGGCACCCAGCTGGGTGGAGGAAGCCTGCCTCAACCCCCTAAGGCAGCTGTAATGCCTCTGCACTGGAAACTTGGGAGGTGCATGCATGAACTGCAGAATGAAAAGTCTCCAGCATTGCTTTTAACACCAGGAGCCGATCAGCTTCAGAGCACCTTCCAAGAGAGCGTTGTCTCTAGAGTTTGAGATTTGCTAGGATATGTATTTCCAAGTCCCATAGGCAGATGTGCTTGTGATCAGCTTCAGAGCACCTTCCAAGACAGCGTTTGTAGAGTTTGAGATTTGCTAGGATATGTATTTCCAAGTCCCATAGGCAGATGTGCTTGTCTATATGTTATGCACACTTGCAGGTGATGGCTCTCTTGGATCCTCAGCTGTTTTATTCACCGTAGCATGGAGGGAAACACCAAAGTCAAAGATCAAAGCAAATAAATGCAGTCTGCAAACAGTTGTGCTGGGGCAGAGGTCCTTGCCTCTTCCATCAAGCATGTCACAGGTGTCAGATGAGTCTTGGCCTCACTTTGCAGTGTCCTGTCGAGCTGCCAGGGGTGCCACAGACCCCTTCTCTGAAAGCCTGTCAGCCTTTCTATCCAGCGCATTGTTAGAGGCAGTGACAGGCTGCTCACACACCACAGTGCCACAGGTGTCACAGCACTGCAGGGTTTGCAGAGGCACTCACAGCTTCATTATCTGTGTGGCTTTGACAACTTCCAGCCCAGCCAGTCGTTCTCTGGGCACGGTGAAGGGCAAGGGGGAAAAGCTCAACTTCATTAGGGGAGATGAAGGCACTTAAAAGTACCTGAATGGCAAGGATGGGAACTTGCAATTGCTCTTACACTTATATCCCAGCTAAATTGTGATTTATGTGCTTAGAGAGCTAGCAGTTGCACTTCTGAAGGCCAAGTAGGATAATTGTACTTGCTTTAACCCCACTGAGCAGCTGCCTTTCTCACCTTGCCTCTGTCAGTGGGCATGAACAGGGACACCCAAATGTGCAGTCAGAGCTTTGCTGTGGTGTGGGGATGGAGCAGGAGTGTGGGAAGGCACTCTCCCCCTTGCAGCCTTGTCTGCCAAATACCCTCTCAAAGGGTGCTTCTAAGAGGGTCAGCAGCTCGGGGACACCGTGTGACCCCGAGGGACCATGTGCTTTGGGGCCGGGCTGTGTGGTGGCTGCAGCCCCAGGTCACTCCCAGGGAAGCCCTAGCAGCTGTCTTTGCTCCTGGTTGCCAGTCCCAGGAGGAAGGCAGTGTATTGGGGTCATCATGATGCTATTCTCCAGCAGTGACACTCTTTCTGCCTGTTGCTTTTCACATGGGCTGTACAGAAAAAGAGAGGAAAGAGGGAAGAAAATGATTCTCTCCAAAGACACCATGCTATGTCCCTCTGCAGACAGGAGTGCCCCGGCACTCCCACTATGCCACGCAAAGCTGGGTTGTAGAACTGCTGTGCTGCCGTGTGCCCTTCCAATCTCCAAGGACAAGTGCCTCCTCACTCTCATATTGCCACAGGTCAGGATGCCACAGCTGCTTAAGAGCAAATAGCCCAGTTTGTCTGCAAACCCCTTCTCCCTGCAGCCAGGTTCCTTGCTGGCCTGTCACCTGGGAAGGAGACAGCTTGTTCCCTCTTGGATTCAGGAGACAGCTGGGTTCCTTCTTGGGAAGCTCCTCTGCCACAATCTCACCAATGCCAGGTTGCACAGAGAGGGGCTGGAACACATGGCAGGAGTATCACACAGCCACCACTGCTCTGTCCCCCGTTCTGCTTCTCTGCTTCATTGCTGCTTTCCCAAAGTAGCGCAGAGAGGAAACAAAAGGCAGCTGGACATGGCTGGGACCAGCACTTGGGTCTGCTTCTCTGCTCCTTCCACTCCTTCTGCCCCTTTGAGAAGGGAGGCATACAGAACAGGATTCATCCCCCAGTGCGTGTCGCCTGCCATGGCACAAGACAACCTTCCCAAGAAGCTGCTGGGAAGTCCCTGACCATCCTGGCTTTTCCATCATGGCCAGAAACTCAGGCAAGCCCAAGAAGCACCTCTGCTCCAGCATGTATGTGCCCATGTGGGTATCGCTACACACACAGGTTGGCTTCTTTCCCTCCACACCACAGCCATACCCCACGGTGGGAGATGGCACATTCAGAGCGAGGAGCAAGCTGCAGGTGCAGATACCATACACCATTGCTCCTGGTGTCCCACCAGTGCTACAGCTGACAGCGCCAAAAGAGAGATGAAGACACAAAAATACCTTTTTTTATTTCCATTTATCAAAATGGCAAGCACATCCAGTTTTGATAACAATGAGACTTCCCTAGCTCCACGATCATTTCAGGATACTCTTGCTTCTGCACTCAAAACTCACCATTAATTTGTTTTTAGGCTAGGGCTACTTGGGCAGAGGAGTGGGCAGACACCAGCTGGCCACACTGAGCTTTTGGCAGGTACATTTTGCAACCATCCCCTGAGCAGCCTCTTGGCTGCCACCACTGAAAGGCTGGCCAAGGTCTCCTGCCAAATTCTCCTGTCAGAGAGGAATACTTCCTGAAAAGTTAACTCTCAGCTACTCCACGCAACAAGCTCTTCTTAGCACCACCAGCCTAGGTGGGTGAGCAGGGAGCTCCTCAAGTAATGGGCAGGAGACAGGAATAATTACAGTTATTGCTGTTGATCTTGATTATTAATTAATTGGTGAAGCAAGGAAACAGGGACCCAGGTGCCTTTTCCTTGCAGTTGCTCCTGGTCCTGGCAGGAGCTCCTTGGCCCCGGGGTGGGGGGTTACCCATCCACCCACTCTGCTGCCAAAGGATGTGACGTGCTGAGGGCTGCTAGAATGGCAGCAGGGTCAGCAGGGAGCTGAGGCGCTTCCTGATAAACCCTCTGCACGTGGCTCTGCTGCTGCTGCTGCTGCAGAGGCATTTGGTGGGGTGCAGAACTAAAGGTGCAAGCAAACATTTGGGGTCCCACCAGAAGAGCAGCCTACAGGGAAGGCCGCTGGCCAAATGCAAGTCCCTGTGGACACCAGTTTTCCATCAGTGACACGGGCAGACCCTCGTTAGGCCACAGGTGGGTGAGGGCAGCCCAGCTCTCCTCTCCTGTCTGCAGCTGCTGCTACCTGACACAGAAGATGCAGAAGAGAACTGTCCCACCCTGCAAGCCTGCTGTCACACATACACAGGAAGGTGAGGGCCCTGTTAAATTCCCAGGACCGGACCAGAAATGCGGTGTGTGTAGCCAGGGCTTGCGAGAACGTGCAGTTAGAAACAACCAGGTCTGGTGGCAGCCTGGGAATGGTGGGAATGGTGGCAGCCTGGGAATGAACGTGCAGCTAGAAACAACCAGGTCTGGGAATGGTCACTTGGAAGGCATTGGCAAGGGCTGACACACATCCACAGCAGCATGGAGACAGCACATATCCTTTGCGACCCACTCTGGAGCAAGTCACCTCTTTCCTGAAGGAATATGCACAAAGGCATTGGGCTGGGGGAGCCAGGGGCTCCAGGAGCTCACAGGCACCTGGGAAGGCTGCAGGGAAGGATGCATCCCTGCTCCACAAGGACTTCTGTGCCCACAGAGCTGAATGCATGGGTGCTGCTTGACTCAGCTGGCAGGAGGCAAGGGGTAAAGGAAAGACACAAGGGTGAGGGGGAACAGGGGAGACAGAGATAAGGAGTCACTTACCCTCACTCCCATGAACCTGTCCCTCAGAACGATCCATGAAAGCAAGAACACAAAAGCTTTGTTGCAGCAGAACAACACGGAGACATCCGTAGTGTTTATTTTCTTTATTGCATGTAAGTAAAGGTAGTTTGTGAGTGTCCAAAGAACACCAAAGGGTGCTGCCTTGGTAAAAAACACCTTCAAAGTCAAGCCATTGTCTCCAAAAAATCGGCAGCACTCCCTAAAACAAGGAGAGAAAGGCAGTGTTATTACATAAGCCAGTCACAGTCTGCAGCAAATATATGGCTTTTTTTGCTCCTCTTCTTTTCCTTTGGGGAAGAGAGACACACACCTTAAAGAGGAGAAAAAAAAGTTTCAGCTTCTGCTGCAAGAGCCAGCACCTGCACAGGATACAAACAGGCAAGGGCTGCAAACAAGGGAGGAGGCTGCAAAGAAAGAGCAAAGGGACAGGTGATGACAGGAGGTGAAATCTCACTCTTCCCACCAGCCCCTTCACAGTGAACATCTTGAAGCAGTGTGGGGCCATCCTCCTCCCCTCCACCCCTGTGGGCACCAGGATGCTGAGGGCCCAGGGTTGGCAGCAAAGCCCCTAGCTCCCTGCTCCTGCTGAAGCCATGGGAAGCTGGTGCCCATCTGATCTGCTATGTGGGGCTTGGAAGAAGCCTTGCAGGAGCCCAGGCTGGGGGTTTTCCACCCAAGCGGAGGGACCTGGCTCAGATCTCCAGCAGCATCAGGGCAGGAGCAGGAGGGGGCAGCAGGCAGCTGCCCCTGAGATGAGAACATGGCATGGTAGCACCTGGGGACATGCTGGAGCAGCTGGAGCAGCAGTGGGGAGTCAGGAGCTCATGTGTGCAGTCCAGGTTGGGGATGCTGTGAATCCCTGAGCAGGGTCAGCCTGAGCAGGTTCAGCCCTGGCACAAAGAGCAGAAGCAGCAGCAGTTTGACTTGTCCCGTGTGTAGCAATGGGACACAGGAGGTGACGGGGCGCGGCTTGGCCCTGCTGGCAGGGCTGGCATGGGGCTGCAGGGGTGGGGGGAAACCTGCCTGCAGCCTGTGCCTGCCCGGCAGCAGAGCTGCAAGCTGCCAGCTGCATGGAAATTCAGTACCACAAAGAAGGAAGGAATCATCCTAGGGGCTGGGGCTGTGGCCAGCAGCCTGCGAGGTGTGTGTGGGGCAGCCAGCACGGTGCCCTGGCCTGCGCTGCCATTGCTCACTTTCAAACCTGCAAACTCCCTGGGGCCCTGAAGTTCTTTATTGGGGTGTTCTGACAAAACCTGACCAGAATTAAATTTCCTGCTGACAATGATGGACGAATAGTTTTTCACTGCTGTCATGAATTTCAAGCTATTTGTTTCCTGAGACTGGGCATGTAAAGATCATTATTTGGATACTGATGAAAGCACTGTTTTGATCTACTTTCCCAGAAGACAGGGCTGTACCAGATGAATACCTAAAAAACCCCCATCCATTCTTTCAGCCTCATCAGATCTCTGCATCCACAAGTCTGTATCAGCCTACAGCCCCTCTGCTACAGCAGGTACAAGACTGCAAGGTAGAGGAGACATATTTTTTGTGTTTATTGGGTTTGTTGCCTGCCAGTCCTTTGTATCAAATCATAGCTACGAACTTGCCTCTCTCTGGATGTGATGACCCTGTACTTTGGCTGCTGTACATGAACTCTTTCATTTGAGCTGCTGGTTCTGCATTGTATTCCTCAGTGTGCCTTGTCCTCTGCAAGACTGCCTGCTGGCAGCAGCCTATTCCCTGCCAAACCTGTTAACTGCCTCTCCGAATCAGTAGAAGAGCTGCCCATCTGCACTGCAAACCACAGCCTGACTTCCCACTTGCTGGAGCTGTGCTGGGCTGTTCAGGGATGCTCATGACCCTGACAGATGCTGCCTGTGCTCAGCAGGATCCATTCTCCCCTTCCACAAACACTATACCCACTTCAGGTCTGGCCTTCAGTCCTGCACAGCACTGACTGTACCAGACACCTGCCACAGGGGACACAGGGAGTGCAAAAGGAAGCAGAGGCACACTGAAAAAGCCAGTCCCAAACTTCATTAGAGACTTTAACCTGCTTCCTAAGACACCATGTAGGGTTTCACTGCCAGGGTGTCATAGGCAGCCAGCCTCATGCTCTGAAAACAAAAAACCACACGCACAGTTACAATTAAATGACATGAAGCAAGATTAGTATGAGAGGAATAGGAAGGCTGTACTCAAATGAAAGGACAGAAATGGAATTTATGTTGGGATTCATCCTGGGGGAAAAAAGTTCCTCCTGCCAAAAATCTGTTCCCCACATATAGAATTGGCTATCACTATTTCATATACAGCAGAAGCATGTGCTTTTACTGTCTTGTGGGCCTGATTCCTGTTTAGTAAATACCACTGGATCCCTATGGTACCACAGCCTGGATCCCTGAAGCACCCAGTGTAGTGCCATGCTGCCCCAAAGGACAGCCTTGCCCTGACATGGACCATGACCCTGAGCTGCAGTGCCCACTTCAGGAGTCTCTCTTTGCCTTATACAATAATAATGTACAGCTTCCTTTTAGCTGTTCTGGCTGGCTTCACCAAGCATGAATTACTTTCCATACTGGCTCCAGCTTTCAAAGGAGACCTCCTTATGGAAGACATTTCCTTACCCAGCAAAACGCTGTGGAGAAGCTTCTCCCTGAGGACTCCTAGGGCTGTGGAGGGTGCTGTCAGCCATGCACCCACATCCACAGCGAGCCCTGTTGTCCCAAACAGGGGCACTCCTGCAGTTAGATGGGTTATATGGCTGCCTTGGACTTGGCATCTTCAGTGAAGTATGAGGAGCATCTGGGAGAATGTGGCATATTTTGTGCACCAGAATGACTATATGCCACACAGTAAACCTCTCACAATTAATTGTCTCCCCAGGTTTGCCAGTGCTTACTGGGAAAACTGATTTTTCCTTGGTACTGTAGCACAGCTTGTGAAGCCATACCAGGAAGCATTTGATGAAGAGAGTTTTCAGTGAGTAATGGTAGATAAATAGTTATGGGAAGCAAGGCAGGACTGTGGTATAACCTGTGCTGGAAGCTCAAAACAGTCAGGGATGACTCCAGAAAAAGCAACCTTCAGCTTAAATATTTGGACAGAACATTTGAACACAGATGTTCCTGCTATCCACTCATTTCTGGGCCCAGCACAGACACAGGCACATCCACCATGCTAACCCCCACACTGTGTTAAAAGGGAAATTGTCATCTTAGACTGACCAAACCTATTCCTGGTCACATTACCAGAAATCCTGCACCTGCTGCTCTCACCTTCTCCTCAAACCAAAAGCTGCTTTGGTACTCTCTTGATGATACAGTTTTGCTAGCTGGGAACACCCTGCTTTACCCATGGAACAGTGGGACTTGGGGTGTGAACAACTGTCAGAAAGGCTACAGGGGAAAGGCAGACGCAAAGCTCAGGTGTGCCCTGGCCCTGTGAATCCCCAGGTCATGCGGAGCATGGCTTCTCTTTGGCAGAGAAGCTGCCCTGCAGAGCCCCTCTGCTGAGATGATCTCCCCTCTAATCTCTAATCCTCCATGTGAGGAGTAAATTCCTGCAAGCTCCAAGCTGTGTGCAGATAAGGTGGCAGCACACAGCAAGGAGCTGTGACATTGCAGGGTGTAATGCTGCATTTTTGAGATAAATTATCTTCCTGCATTATTTTCTTCAATTCTGCCATCATGAGCTGGCACTCCATTGTAATCACAGCAATTGGTTTACAATATAAATGCAAGGCATTAACAAAGGCAACAGACTGTTAAAGTCTGTGTAAGACTGGAATGGAATGTCAGAGGAAGGAGACTGGAAGGGAAATGTGCTGGCTTAATTGCCACAGCAGCAATACAGAAAAGTTTGCTTCCACCTAGAAGTGTCACATCCATGTTCAGACAACCTGAAGGCTGCTAGGGTACTACAGGAACTGGGGTAAAAGATACTAAAGAAAAGCCTAAGGCACAGCAATCTTTTGTTTGTGTCTTAACTCTAAATTGTTTGCTGGTTTCTTTAGCTTTCATGTACTAGGTCTTGTTTTTCACACTCTTTATAGTGTGTATCTTCATTAACCCAGCAAATGACAAATTAGCTCTACTCCATTAGGCAAGTCTCCAGCACAATATCTCTGTCACTGGAATCAAGCGTCCCCAGTGAAGTAAATCAGAAGTCATCAGTGCCAAAATTCTATGCTAAGTAAGAGTTAATTATATTGAAAGCAGGTGTTGCACTGAAATAAAACTTGCAAATGAAACGTGATAGTAAAGCTCCACTTTTTCCCCACTGAGTTAACAATTATATATTTAACACTATTCACCTTCCACTGCCTGCTTTGTCTTTAAACATTGCTAGGCAGTCGTGATGTTTCCCCACTTCTCTGAACCTCATACAAATGAATTTATAAAATTTTGCCAACACTGAAATGAATGCTTTTTCCCCTATTCTGAAAAAAGAAAATCCCACCTATGAAGAGAAAAGGTAGGCAAGAATGAGAAAAAGTACATACAGTGTGTTGTCCCAGGCCAGGGGTTTGGTCTCCTGATACTCCCTGCAGAACAAACCTATGCCAAAAAGGTTTGTAAGCCATTGAAACTGCCATTACATCTTTGGAAAATCTGCAGTAAAGTAGAAAATTTCTGGGAGTAATACACATCCTAAGGGAATACTTTGCACAAGCCAGTTATTTCTCCTTTCCAGACTGTTAACTTTTGCTAGAATTTTTTCATTGTCTCAGTGCTCATACTGGAGCCTTTTCCTCCAAACCAGATTTGGATGTGCTGTTGCTCTTAGAAGGTAATATTATTTCTTTGCAGACTGTGCTTCTCACTTTGACCTTGCAAGGTCTGTACCTGCAAATTGAATTTGGCTAAATTGCTTCTGATTTTCAGCAGAGTGAGCATCACCTCCCTGGAGCACAGCAAAGCCACCACTGTGCCAGTGAATCTGTCTTCTTGATTAGAGATTGGCAGGCAAAACATGTTTTGCTAATCCCTGCACCAATTAGGCCTGCATGGATAAATAATCTGCAGATGTGCAACAGTCCTACATTTTCTGCTCAATGTACAAAAAAAAAAAAAAAGACATGGACTAAAATGTCATGCCATGTCTTGTGGGAGGACTTGCAAGCCACTTGTAGGAAGCAAAAGAAAAGCAGACAGACAAGATGTGTTGACAGTAATAGGAGAGAAGGAAACTAGA